CTTCGTTTTCGTTGCATTGCCCTGTTGATGATGGGTTGTCTTTTTCACTTGGTTGCTGCGTTTCGCCCATTTCGTGTGTGTGTGTGTGTGTGTGTGTGTGTGTGTGTGTGTGTGTGTGTGTGTGTGTGTGTGTGTGTGTGTGTGTGTGTGTGTGTGCGTGCGTGTTTGTGTGTGTGCGTGATGGGTTGTGCGAGAGGGTGTGGTCTGTGGAAGTGTGTGTCTGCGGTGTGTGGTGTGAGAAAGAGAGATTAGCTGCCGTGCTCCTGTTACTTGCTGCTTGTCTTGAAGGAGTGACACACCATCAGTTATGTTGTTACAGCACCCATCATGGTGATGGGAGTGAATGCACGTGAACATGGAACAAAGAAAGAACAAGCAAACGAGCAAAGAACAAGCAACGTGTCACAACATCACCAATCGCTGCATGAGACATTGTGCATCATTTCATCGTTTCTGGAGGAGGAGGAAACGGCACACACCACGAAGCAACACAAGCAAGCAAGCAACACAAGCAAGCAAGCAAGCAAGCAAGCAACTGGCGATGATGACTGGACGACTTGCACTGCAAGGGGTGCTGCGGCAGCGGCTCCTGACACTGCTCGCGATGGTGGCGGTGGTGGCGGGAGGCCATGCGGTGTGCGCGGATGCAACAATTGTGTTCCCGACACAGGATGGCATTGTTGTGCCTCTGGACGAGCACAACGTCGAGCTGGCGGCAGTGAAGCCTGGCTGGCTGCGCCTGTCAGTGTTCTCCTCAAACGCCCGCGATGGCGGCCGCGTGCCAACACCAATGGTGAGCGTGGGCCACAACGACACGCCCGCGTTCTCCTGGTGGCAGGACGACGGCTACGTCATCTTCAGAACAGCGGACGGGCGCCTGGTGCTGGCAGAGAACGGCACAACGTGGGCGCTGCAAGGCCCCGACAACACCACGATCATGTTGTCCAAGAAGCTGTTGTCCAAGCCGTCCCCAAGCAGCAGCGATCTCCTCTTGCATGTCAACCGCAGCAGCGACGCACACGTGTACGGTTGCGGGCGCCTGACCAACACCACCAAAGTGCTGCCGCTGAACTGCTCGCGCGGCCTGCCGCTTGTGTCCGAGTTTGGGTTCCTCTCCTCCTTTGCCTGGAGCACCGACGGCTTTGCCATGTTTGGGGTTGTGCCAGACAACGACGCGCGGTCGCAGCCATTCCTCAATCTCTCCTGGGCACAAGCCACGGAGGAGTTTCTCTGGCAGTTCTCGGCGCACCACCCGCGCTTGGACTTGTACCTGGCACCAGCGCCCACCCTGCGCGACGCAGTTGTGCTGCTCTGGAACCTGACGGGCGCGCCGGGGCTGCTCCCCAGCTACTCGCTCTCCTTCCTCGCTTCAAGGTCTGGCTGGGAGGAGCCGCCGTCCATCAGCAAAGCCGTGGACGAGTTCTCCTCCGGCCACTTCCCGCTCTCGGCGGTTGTGGCAGACTACGAGTGGTTCTCCCCAGAGTCCGACGCGCAGCTGCCGCCCGAGGGCGCAGCCAACTTCTCCGACTTTGGCCTCAACCCGGCCGTGCTTCCCGGCGGGCCCAAATTCCTGCAGCAGCTGCGCAGCCAGGGCGTGCACTTCGGCGGCGTGCGGTGGCCGCGCCTGGGGAACACGGCGCTGCTGCGGGAGGCGGGCTCCCTCGGCTGCCTGTTTCACGAGCCACCGCGGCACCTGCGCTTCAATGACAAGGCGTGCAGGGAGTGGTACACACGCCAGCTGCAGGCAGACACGCAAGCCGGCGTGTCCTTCTTTTGGAACACGGGAGGGGACTCGGCTTATTACACGTACATGTACTGGGCGCGGGCTCAGACCAACGCGTTCAAGGATCACATCCCACCCACAACGACCACAACAACAACAACGACAACCACCACAACTACGAGTACGACAACGACCACAACGTCAACCACAACAACAAGCACAACAACAACATCAACTACCACTACCACAACGTCAACAACCACAACCACAACCACGAGAAGAACAAGCACAACAAGCACAACGAGCACAACAAGCACATCATCATCATCATCATCGACCACGGTGCGGCTTCATCCACAGTTTCACAATAAGACCGCTCAAGCTGAATCGCCCATCGTGCAATGGCGGGCCTTGCGCACGCGTGCTGGAGAGGGTCAACCCGAGCCCTCTTCTGCCTCGTGCAACGGCACTCATCGGCGACCCTTCAGCCTGAGCAACGCGTTTACGCCCGGCATTCAGTCCCTGGGCAACGTGGCCACCACGGGCCGCATTGGCTCGTCATGGGACGACTTGGAGGCAGCGGCAGGAGACATTGTGGCCTACCTGATGGCGGGAACAGCGTTTGTCTCCGTGGACATTGGCGGCAACTCGCAGGGCACCGTGCCCGATACGCTGCTGGTGCGCTGGTATCAGCTTGGGTTGTTCACGACCGTGCCCCGGTCAAGTTCGGCACGCACGTCCAGCCCACATTTCCCCTTTGATGCGCAAACGCCGCCAGCGGTGGACGCGATTCGGGCGGCGATGCGCCTGCGCCAGAGGCTGATGCCGACCATCTACGCCGCCATGGTGTGGCAGCACGTGCTGTTGGAGCCAATGCTTCGCCCGCTGTTGTTTGAGTTCCCCAACGACGCGGAGGCGGCGCAGACGGCCACGCAATGGCTGCTTGGGTCTGGGCTGATGGTGGCGCCCGTGCTGTCGTCGTCGGACCAAGTGCAGGTGTACCTGCCTGTCGGCCTGTGGTTCCCGTTCACGCAGACACCAACGTCATCGCCGACCCAGGGCATTGCCGGGCCCACCCACCACGACGTTGTGGCGGAGCTGGCTGACATCCCGCTGATGGTGCGGGCGGGAACGCTGCTTGCGCTACAGGACGTTGGCAGCTCGCCGTCGCCGCCCGGCTTGCTCACCATCTACGTGTATGCCGGGCGAAACGCGTCTATTGCAGTAGTGGAGGATGATGGCAAGCACTACTGCGGATCTGGGCGCGTGACGACATTTTCGTGGAATGACGACACGCTCGTGTTGTCGTGGACACGCACAGCCGCTTCCAGTGGTGGTGGTGGTGGTGGTGGTGGTCGAGTTGGTGATGGTGATGTTACGGGCGAAGCGGAGGCGAATTCGGTTTTGTTTCCTGCTGCGTCGCCAGGGTACATTGTGGTGCAGGCCGTGTTATGGCAGAATGGCACTGCACCTATCCAGTCGCATGCGCGGAACATTGGCCTGTCGGGGTTCCTTGATTTCGCAACCCTGATGTCACCCAACAGCCACAAACGCACACTGTAGAAACGTTGACTTTGCATGGAGTGCGTGGAACGTGTGGAGTTTTGCGTGCAGTGTAGTATGAGAGTGTTGTGAGTATATCGAGTGTGCATCGAGTGTGTTGTCGTGTGTGCACTCTCATGTTGAGTGTGCACTGTCATGTTCATGTTGATGTGAGTGTTGATGTGAGTGTGCGATGTGAGGTGTTGTGCGACCCACAACGCAACGCAGAGATTCAGCACCTGTAAGCGACACCATAAATTGAATGAAGAAATGTGTTGACAGCTTTCACTGCATTTCTACACACGAGCCACCAGCCAGTGGAAGAAGCAAAAGCAAGCCAAACCAACCAAGCCAAGCAAGCCAAGCACAAGAGCATCAACACCACCACCATGTCTTCCTCCTTGCAGACGCTGCTTCGCTCGCTCGGCGAGGCCAGGCTTCGTCAAGTGCCAAGCTGGGCGATGCAGAACATCAACAAGGAGCGCCTGACCACTATCCTGTCCGAAGCAGCAACATCTTACGGCCGCAAGTACTTCAACAAGGGCAAGGGCGCGCCCGTCGCTCATGTCATGATTGCGCTCGGCCTCATCGGTTACGCCATCGAGTACCCCCATCTCAAGGGTGCGTTCCCTCCATATGTGTGTTCGTGTTCGTGTTCGTGTTCGTGTACGTGTACATGTACGTGTACGTGCATGCATGTGCATGTACCTGTGAATGTACCTGTGAATGTACCTGTGAATGTACGCAAGTGTATGTGTGTGTGTGTGTGCGCGCGCGCGCGCGGTGTTCGAGGTTGGTGCCCGTTGGGGTTTCTCGAGATGCGTCGCTGCAGTTGGTGTGTGTGTGTGTGTGTGTGTGTGTGTGTGTGTGTGTGTGTGTGTGTGTTGCAGTGGACAGTGCTGTGATGGGTGAACGGGTTTGAACCACGTACACACCTTCATGCACGTGTGGCATGGGGCGTTCACGATGCCAGTTGGAGGCTGCTTGAGGGTGGGGGTGTTGACGTTCCCCAGTTTGCAAGAACTAACGTGCGTGTAATGGTTTGTGTTGTGCTTGGACGGTTTTTTTAGAGAGCCAACGCCAGAGGAAATACCACTAGGCAGGAGAAGGGACCATGCGGATGTGATGTCGCGGTGTTTTTTTTACGTTCACTCGGTGCCTCGCCCTACCGTGGAGAAGACGTGACACAGCCTGTTGCCCGCTCTATTGTGCACGTAGCGGCGCGGTTATGCGCCCAGTGCGCGCGTGCTTGGATGTGTACGTGTGTTTGTGAGGGTGCGGGCGTGCTTGTCACTTTGCCGTGCTTTCACAGTGGCTGTCTCTTTGTGTTAAGTGGCTTTTTCGTGTTGTGTGCTGATGCTCACTGTTCCGTTCGTTGGCGGTCGGTGATTGTGTGTTAGACGTTGTCAGTCGTTTATGTGACCATTACAATACATGCTCGTCAAAGTTGTGCAGGGAAGAGGCTGCTATCGAGCCAGCAATAGTGTTTGCGATCGCGAGTGTGTCTGCGAGTGCCAGTGTGAGTGCAAGGTTGTGCCACAGTGGACACAAGCGTTTGCGTTCACATCAAACTGTGTCAGGCAGTGGGGTTGTCGTGGCGGAATTCCATTCGGTACACGCCAGGGCGTCGGTCCAGGGGCCATTTCATCTGGCACATTGTCCAAACAAACACACGACATGATGAGGGGGGAAACAAGGTGGACACGCGCACCACAAAATCAAAACCAGAACCACACACACACACACACACACACACACACACACACACACACACACACACACACACACACACACACACACACACACACACAGTATGTGTACTGAGCGCTATGCACCTTGAGCAATTGGGGTTTCGCGTCAGCATCAAGGCGCGTCTCGCCATGTTCTGTCACCTGAATCAATGGGAATGAACACCACATCAATGTGCTTGGACACAAAATACACTCGGAGAAACCCTATGCACAAGCACGATGTCAACACAATGCACAGACACACACAGACACAGACACACACACACAGACACACAGACACACACACTCATATGAGTCGTACATTTGGGAAGGAGGGGGGATCATGGCGACAAACGAGACTCAGTGTAAAACAAATGCAGCCGCAATCTTTTCAACGCACGTTGCACTGCATCCCTGTCACAAGACACACGACACATGGCACATGACACATGGCAAGCGGGACAGCCATGACGGACAGCGCATGCACCACCAACCTTGCATATCGTCGACAGATGGTGCACGAAGACGCGCGTGCGTTTGCACGTTGAACGTCTTGATCACGTGAATTGCACTGCTCAGCGTGGTCAGATAATATCCACCCTGTCAATGAGTGTGAGTGAGTGAGTGAGTGAGTGAGTGAGTGAGTGAGTGAGTGAGTGAGTGAGTGAGTGAGTGAGTGAATGAGTGAGTGAGTGAGTGAGTGAATGAGTGAGTGAGTGAGTGAATGAGTGAGTGAGTGTGTCAGAGAGAGAGAGAGTGTGTGTGTGTGTATGCGTATGTGTGTGGAGTGTGTGTTGTGATGTCTTGGCTGCCTGTAGCTTGAAGTTGGCACACACCGAGGTGCGGCCACCTCTAGCACCGGACAAAACGCAACTTTCCTCGGCCACCTCCTGCGTTCTTTCTCACAATCCCGCTCACCTCGCCATTGAGCAGGGCCGGGTCAAGAAGGCCCCACATGTACTCCGCTTCTGCTTCAAACAGAGAGATGCGCTGCGCATGCATTCAACACAATCGGCAAGGCGTCAATACAGCACCTCAAGGTGAAGACAACGCGATCGTAAGGTCAATAGAACACGAACGACCGCAATGTCAAGACACCACGACCACAGCTGAGCACTACCAAAGGAGCAGCCGGCTGTCAAGCTGCAATCGCTGTAGCAACACACAAACAGGCGATGCACATTGAGCACGCGACGCACCGAGAGGATGATGATGTGCACGATGAGCGGCAGCATGTCATCGGCACCAACGGCTTCCATGTTGTGCACATCCCGTGTGTCGTCCAAGATGGCGTGCACAGTGTCCACGAAGAACAACAGCTCCTGGTGGCGTGGGGGAGAGGAGCGACACGTAAAGCAAAGCAGCGTAAGGGAAGCTACCCATGGATACTGGAGGGTGTGCAGCCATGGGTGATGCGGAAAGGATGGTGCTCTACCTTCACAACACAAAACCCCCAAGAAACCCCAAGAAACCCCAAGAAACCCCAAGAAACCCCAAGAAAACACAAGAACTGGAGGGCACACCTGCAGTTTTGACACGGGAGATGGGCTGGTTTGCATGCGTTCAAGGTGCACAATTGCCCCCTTCCACTGGATGCGCGCAAGCTGTTGATGTGCAGCAGTTGGGGACAAGCAGAGGCGGTTAGGAGCGTGAACAGTGTGGAAGATGGGTGACGCACGTACACGGCAAATATGCAGCAACTGAGAGGCGAGACAGACCAACCGCCAACCTTTGGATTCAGGCCAATGTCCTCTGGTTCTGAGCGCTGCAGGGCTGTCAGGTTCGCCTTGAACTGGGCAAGGTCGCCTTGTCTGCTCATAACACAGCAATAACATGGGTATGACTGACATGATCAGCACACATGCCACCACCCAGGGGCGCACGCGATACATATATGTGTGTGTGTGTGTGTGTGTGTGTGTGTGTGTGTGTGTGTGTGTGTGTGTGTGTGTGTGTGTGTGTGCAACTGATCAACATAGCTGCGGCAGTGCTCAGGAACCCGAAGAAAAAAAGGCGGACATCTGCAGGTGCGCACCTTTGAAAGTGGTTGATTATTAGCTTGTATACGTGCTGATGCAGGCGAGGCACGATGCGGTTCTGCAAGATCATCTCAATAATACTGGGCAGGGCCCCTGGTGCAACGTCTACACACACACACACACACACACACACACACACACACACACACACACACACACACACACACACACACACACACACACACACACACACACACACACACACACACAGACACAGACACAGACACACACAGACACACACACACAGACACACACAGACAGACACACAGACAGACACACAGACAGACACACACACACACACGTGTGAGAAAATGTGAAATGAGACTGCCGGTGAGAGGCGAGGTCCAAGTCGCTTGTGCAAAGGCAGGAATGTAACAACGGTACACAGGTTTGGTGGCATTTCTTGCCATACACATGCATGCATGCATGCAGGGGTTTTGCATGACGCCACAGGGCAAAGTAAAACACAAGCGGCAGCAGCAGTGCCACCTTCTTGCTCTGGGTGTCGCGACCATTCCCGATAAGTGTCGCCTGAAGGAATCAGACCAGCAAGGAGGCGTGAGGAGTGTTACAGCACACACACACACACACAACACACAAACACACACACACACAACACACAAACACACACACACACACACACAACACACAAACAAACACACACACACACACAACACACAAACAAACACACACACACACGAACATTACCATGTTGAGCGAGGACGAAGTTGCGCATGCCGTCAAGGAATTGGCGAATGTTGCGCATGACAACGTGAAAGTCATCCTCCTCAGCATCCTCCGTGCACTGCACAAAGCTGTCCACTGTCCTCCCCTCTGCCGTTCTGCTGCTGCTGAGAAGTCGCCCCAAGTGGTTTGAGATGCGCTGCGACACAGGCGGCAACCACCTGTGTGCGTGCGTGTGTGTGTGTGCGTGTTTGTGTGTTGCACCGTTGAGAGTGTGATGAGCGACCAAGCGTTCACAACGAAACAAAGAACAAGGCGCGAGACGGAGAGGGGGGCGTGACAGACCGCCAGCACACATGTTCTCAGGCACTTCAGAAGAGCACCCAGCGATGAAATCGCGCGCACCGTGCTGGGACGGGGATGCGAAGACGACGAAGTTTGCGTCGTATTCTCGTCAGCCGTCGCTCTGAACTGGACTTGCCGACCTCGTTTCTAGGGGAGCCTGTGCCATCAGCCAATAGTCATGCATGAGCGGGTGCGAGCAGGTCATTGAGCGGGCGACGAAGTGACACCGAAAATATGAAGAAAATTTTGCGTGTGTGTGTGTGTGTTTGTATGTATGTGTGAGCACTGACGCGTGCTCACGTTCACTGTATCACTTGATCAGAGGCTGGGATGCGTACGGAAAAGAAAGCAAAGCATGGCGATGGGCCGTTGCCTTGATACGATACCTGGATTCATCTCCACGAGGATGAGTGCTTCAGAGGAGTGGCGGGTGTGGAGGGAGGCGCGGGACGAGGGCTGTTCTGCTGGTCAACCCCACAAGGGAACCATAATGTCAGCATGCCCATGAAAAAGGGTGTGTGTATACGTTTGTGCACGCGTGTATACGTGTATACGTGCGTGCGTGCGTATGTGTACGTGGGTGTTTTACACATTCATGTGTGTGTGAGTGCGAATGAACATATGTATGTGTTTGTTTGCGTGTGTGCTTGTGTTCGGGACACGCCGGGGACAAAACAAGGTCAAACATCAAGGTTGAAGGACAGGAGCACAAGTGCCAACCTCTGCTTGTTGCACTTCGCAGAAGGCATGGCAGTGCTTCCCTGAAAGGTTTGTGTTGTTCAAGCACGTTTGAGTCAGGTGTGTAGGTATGCCCAGCAAGGTGAGGTTGGCAGGCTGCAAAGATCATGACGTTGACGTGACAGACAGACACACAGACGGACAGACGGACAGACACACAGACACACAGACACACAGACACACACACACACGCACAGATGGATACACACTCACACTCACAGACAGACAGACAGACAGACAGACCCCCCCCCCCCCGCAGCGCGCTGTCAAGGCAGCTGACCGTTTCACGCTGTAAAAGGCCAGGAGGTCGACAAGGGAGCGAAAGACGCGCGTGTGGCCAGTCAGCGTGACTCCTCCCTTCAGCAATGTGCCATCCACCTGGCCGTCGTATCTGTGCCCACATCACGATGGCGATGAGAACCATGCGACACTCGAATACATTCACGCATGCAGAAAGAGAAGCAGACAGACACACACACACACACAAATACACACACAGCCGTGACATATGCAACCGTGTTTGATGAGTGCAAGCGCGCGTGTGTGTGTGCGTGTGCGCGTGTGTATGTGTGTGCGTATGTGCAGCTGGGTGGGTGCACGCACCTTTCGAGGAGGTAATGCAGCACGATTTGTCCAAACTTGACGCACAAGACGCGTGATGTCGGGTCCTGGCGAGAAGGGCGGACGCGGAAGGTGCCGTCCGGTTGATCTTGTAAGGAAGTGGATACAGTTGTACGATCTGACCAAGGTTCCCAGAAGGTGTCAAAGTTGGCCAAGACCTCTGCTTTCATATGTGCGGGGATGTTGTGGTCACTGTGATATGATACCCTGACTGATTCGCTCTCCTCCGTGTGTTGTTGTTGTTGTTGTTGTTGTTGTTGTTGTTGTTGTTGTTGTTGTTGTTGTTGTTGTTGTTGTTGTTGTTGTTGTTGTTGTTGTTGTTGTTGTTGTTGTTGTTGGTGGTGGTGTGCTGGGTGATGTCTTCGGGCTGGGCCCTGTTGAGTGTGGAGCTGGTCCCAGGTTGCCCAGCCCGAGTCTGCGGCCTGCGACCTGGCCTCATTGTCCCAGCTCTGGGCCCAAACGGCAAGCACATCATCCACGCCTTGTGACGTTGAATCCTCCCCAAGGAGGCCTGGTCGCATGCTTTGGTGGCCCTGCTGGTGCTGTAATGAAGCACGTGCTTCGCCGGTATTCGTGTCAGTGTCGAACAAGGAGTCCCCAGCACGTGCTTGCTGCACCTGCTGGTGATTGCGCTCACCAAGACGACTGTTGTCGGTTGCCACTCCGCTTTCCTGCTCTGCTTTCTCAGGGCTGTCGCGGCTCTCCTTCTTCTTGCTGCCATCCTTCTTGTCAGAGCCAGTCATTGTGATTGCCCTCTTTGACGCTGGCGCAGTGCTTGCCTCCTCTTCTTGCTGCTGCTGCTGCTGTGGTGGCTGCTGCTGTGGCCGTTTCCCATTGTCCCCAACAACAGTTGTCACATCGTTTCCCACCAGCGGCGTTGTTGTTGTTGTTGTTGCAGTTGTTGTTGGCGGCGCTGGCGGGTCCATCTCCAAAACCTGCCTAACACGATTTTGACCCACCTGCGGCCCTGCCTGCCTTTTTTTCTGGGCATCACCACCTTCTTTTTGCCAGTGCTTGCAAGCAACATACCTCCCGCCACCTCTGCTGCGTGTTGTGTTTGTGGGATGTTTGCGTTTGTTTGTTGGCAGCAGCGAGGTTCGAGACACTTTTCTCCCGCTTTTGGCTTCTTCGCAGTGCACAACAAGCAAGCAAAAGGCAGCGAGAAGAACCACGCAGCAAGCAAGCAAGCAAGCAAGCAAGCAAGCGACCACCCAACACCAGCAGCCACCAAGACGCGTTCTTGCGCGTGGGTTGTGTTGTGGGTGTGAGCCACACTGACCAGCACAGAGGGTTCTGCCTCTCGGCTTTCCTGTGTGCTCCCTTTTTTGACCTACCACCACACACGCTCACTTCTTTGTGTGTGCTCGTGTGTGTGTGTGTGTGATTGCCTTCTCACTGCAATCACAACAACAGCACGCGTCGTTGACGTTGTTGTTGACTGCTTGTTGTGGTTCCTCACACTTTGCTGAACTAACTCAGCGTTCCATTCCAACCTTTTGTCTCTTGTTGCGTGCATGTTTGCACGTTGTTCATTCACCAATCCACTCTCGTGCGACAAGCGTTGGCTGTTTCTTCCCTTCGTCCATCAACTTACCAAAGGGGAGCCACGCGCTGGGGGGTTTGCTCATCTGTACCCCTTCAGCTTCCCCCCCCCTTTCTCTTCTTGACTTGGGGTGGTTCATCTCCCCTTGACTTTATTCTGACGCTGCGGCCCGACCGTCGGACAGCAGACACATGAAGTGCATCATGCCGATGCACACCCTTGACTCTTTTTCCCCGGTCTCAACAAGGTTCGTCAACAGCACGACGACGTCGCGATCGATCGCACACACAACACAAAAGCACGATACACCCCTACTTCCCTCCCTCCTTCTGCACTGCTTCCCTTCCTCCTCGTGTTTAGTGGCACACACACACACACACACACACACACACACACACACACACACACACACACACACACACACACACACACGCACACACACACACACACACACACACACACGCACACACACACACACACACACACACACACGCACACACACACACACACACACACACACACACACACACACGCACGCACGCACGCACACACACACAATAGATCACCACATTCTCTTTGCCCTCCCCGCCCCCCTTCTACCCAAACCTGACTTGCTCACAGCCATTTCTCACGCCCCCACCCACCCACATTTTTCGACCACACCTTGCGTGCAGCATGAGCCGGAACATCCGACAGCGACGCGGTGCACGCGCACTCGTCGCTTCTCTTCTTCTTCTTCTACTTCTGACTCTCACAGCCAGCTCAAGCCTGGCTGTTGCCCAGCCCTGCATGAACTCCGACGAGCCGGCATCGGGTCAGGCAGGCACACGTGTGACAATTTATGGAAGCAACCTGCTCGGTCAGGTTGGCACGGCCATCACCTCCGTTCGGCTCGCAGGTGTCCCTGCGGAAATCGTCGAAGGAACATCCCAGTCCCAGGTCGTCGTCATCGCGGCCGAAGGCACAGCCGGCGAGGGCGACGTCGTCCTCGAGGCAAACACGGGTGCAACCGCAGTCAGCCCAAACGCCTGGCAGTACATCAACCCTGGGCGCATCGACAGCGTGGGCCCGGCCTCGGGACAAGTCGGCACCTTGGTCACCATCCGCGGCTACGAGCTCCTCGGCGGGGGCGATTCGCCGATAAACGTGACCTTGGGCGGCAAGCAGGCGACGGTCGTGTTGTACAACAGCACGCACCTCGTCGCGCGCGCCCCAGCCCGTGACCCGGGCCTGTCCCACGTCACCATTCGCAGCAACACTGGTGCAGTGGTCACCGCGAACGATGCCTTCACGTATCTCAACCAGAGCAGCATCGCCGGCGTCAATCCAAACACGGGCCAGCTCGGAACCGTCGTTACCATCCTCGGCACGCGCTTGTTCGGCGGCGGCTCAGCTGTTGCAGAGGTGCAACTAGCTGGAACCTCCGCAGCCATTCTCCGTGCTACCGACACCGAGATTGTGGTAGTCGCTCCAGACCATGGACCGGAGACCGGCGACGTGCTGGTTACAGCTGACACTGGGGCGACGACGACGAGCACGGGTGGCTTCACGTTTGCGGAGCGCGGCGCTGTGGCGACGGTGAGCCCGACAAGTGGCCAGCACGGAACGCTGGTGACGATTCGTGGCGACAGGCTTCGTGGCAGCGGCAGCGCGGTTGTCAACGTGACGCTGGCTGGACGCACAGCCACGGTGTTGGAGGAGAACAGCACGACGGTGATTGTGGCGGCTGGTGCAGGCGCCGAGACAGCTGTGGCTGGCGACGTTGTGCTGACTGCGGACACGGGTGCGGAGGTGACGCGTAGCGGCGTGTTTTCGTACGTCGCCGCTGGGGAGATCACCGACGTGACGCCCGCGTCTGGCGGCGCCGGGACGCGAGTGACGGTGCTCGGGCGTGACCTGTGTGGCGGTGGCAGCAGCGTGGTGCGCGTGCTGCTTGCTGGCTTTGAGGCCGATGTTGTGAGCGGCGGGTGTGCGCGCGTTGAGGCGACTGCGCGTGACTTTGGCATGGTGCTTTCTGGGCCGGTGCTGCTGATTTCGGACACTGGCGCGATGGTTGAGTCCAGCGGGGACGCGTGGACATACCTTGCTGAAGGGCGGATCACGTCTGTGTCGCCGAGCGCGGGGCAGGACGGCACTGAGGTGCACATCCGCGGCGAGCTGCTGCTGGGTGGCGGCACGAGTGCTTCTCGCGTGACGCTGGCTGGCGTGGCGGCGTTTGTGCTGACATCGAATGAGACGGACGTTGTGGTGCGCGCGTTCCCCGGGACGAGCAGCGGCGACGTTGTGATTGTTGGGGACACTGGCGTGAGCGTGCGGCTGACGAATGCATGGACCTACAGCGTGATTGAGAGCGTTGAGCCTGCATTTGGGCAGCGCGGCACGGTTGTGACGCTGAGCGGGCGCGCCTTGCTTGGCGGCGAGGGCGACGTGTCACGGGTGCTCCTTGGCAGCGTGGAAGTGAGCGCGATCCTGCGGAACAGCAGCGACGAGGTTGTTGTTGTTGCTGGCGACCGGACTGTGTTTGCTGACGCGGTTGGGCACGTTGAGATTGAGCTTGCGAGCGGACGGCAGGTTGTTCTTCGGGATGCTTGGACGTACCGGCGTGCGGGCTCGATTGCGAGCGTTGTGCCTGCGTCTGGGCACTTTGGAACGGTGGTGCGCATTGGCGGCAGCCGGCTGCTTGGCCATGGGCAGTCGCTGGTTGGTGCAACGCTGGCTGGCGTGGCTGCTGAAGTTGTGTCTGCGAGCAACACGGACGTTGTGCTGGTGGCGAATGCAAGCAGCAGCGCACGCTCTGGCAACGTTGTTCTCATTGCGGACACTGGTGCGACGGTTGTTCTTGAGGACGGCACGAGCGGGCTTGCGGAGTGGACGTACGTGGCGCCCGGCGTGATCAGCGAGGTTGAGCCGAGCTTTGGGCAGGTTGACACGCGCGTGACGGTGCGCGGGAGCGGCCTGCGCGGCGGCGCGGCGAGCACGGCACGAGTTGTGCTGGCTGGCGTTGAGGCGACGCAGGTTGTGTCTGACAGCGACAGCGAGATTGTTGTTGTTGCTGGGGCGATTGCGGGCGGCGTTTCGCGGGCCAACGGCAGCGTGCGCGTGTTTGGCAGCACGGGTGCTGAGGTGTCTGGGAGCGGCCTGTTTTCGTATGTTGCGCGGGGCGTGATCAGCGATGTTGAGCCGAGCAGTGGGCACGGCGGGACGCTTGTGACGATCCGGGGCGAGCGGCTTGATGGCAGCGGCGGCAGCGTTGCTCGGGTGCGGCTTGCTGGGGTGTGGACGAGCGTGATCTTGCGGCAGAACAGCAGCGAGGTAGTTGTTGCAGCGGAGGCGAGCAGCGGCGCTGTTGCGGGCGGCGATGTGCTTCTTGAGTCTGCGAGCGGGGCGACGGTGGAGGCGGCTGGGCGGTTCAGCTATGTTGCGCCGGGCGTTGTTTCTGCCGTTGAGCCTGGGAGCGGAAGCGCGGGCACTGTGGTGACGGTGCGCGGGAGCGGGCTGCTGGGCGGCGGCGGTGCAGCTGCGGCTGTGCGCCTGAGTGGCGTGGAGGCGCAGCAGGTGCTGTGGTCGAACGAGAGCGTTGTTGTGGCTGTTGCCGGTGCCGGCAGCAATGTGACGGGCGACGTTGAGATTACGGCAGACACTGGTGCTGTGGTGCGCGGGCTTGCGTCGAGCGGGCGCGGGTTCACGTACGTTGTGGCTGGCGTGATCGAGGCTGTGCAGCCGAGTTCTGGCCGCGTTGGCACGGTGGTGACGCTGTCTGGGAATGGCCTGCTTGGTGGCGGTAGCGCTGCTGGGCAGGTGAGCCTGGGCGGGGTGCCGTGTGAGGTGCTGACCTCGGGCGCACTTGAGGTGGTTGTGCGCGTTGGTGCTGGCGGCGTTGGCGGCGCTGTGGGCGATGCTGTGGTTGTGGCTGACACGGGCGCTGAGGTTCGCAAGGCAGCTGCGTGGACGCAAGTTGACGCGGGCGCGATTGACAGTGTGACGCCCGGGTCTGGACAGGCTGGGACGCTTGTGAATGTGACTGGGCGTGTGCTGCTGGGCGGCGGGAGCCGGATTGTTGAGGTTATTCTCGGCGGGACGGCTGCGTCTGCTGTCGTGGACGGGGACCAGGAGACGTTTGTGACTGTTGTTGCGAACAGAAGCGCGAGCGCCGGCGACGGCCGCGTGGTTGTTCGCGCAGACACTGGCGCAGAGGTGTCGCTGGACGCTGCATGGAACTACACGGACGTTCCCACGGTTGAGAGCACGTATCCTTCAAGTGCCGCGGCGGGCTCCCGCATCATGTTTGTCATCAGCCACCTCATTCAGCCTGGCGATTCCTTGGCTGTGGTGACTGTTGCTGGGCAATCAGCCGCCTTCTCCGCCATCAACGCGACGCACGTATTTGTGACGCTTCCAAGCTCCAGCGCTGTCGGCGACACCACCGTGCAGTTTACGTCTGCGCGCGGAACACTGCTCGCCGCCACCGTCACGGTGTCTCCATCGCCTTTCGTGTCATCAATCACACCAAACACCGGTCAGCTTGGCACGGTTGTGTCTTTGGCTGGCAGCGACTTGCTTGGTGGAGCCGACGATGTGCAAGCTGTGCTCTTTGGCACCACACCAGCTGTCGTCCAATCGGCAGCCGACACACTCATTGTGGTTGAGGCGCCTTTTTCCGCCTCCAATACAACCGTCGACGTTGTCATCGTCACCGGGCTTGGCGCCGCCTTTGTGCAGAGTGACGCCTTTGCTTACCTGCGCCCGGCTTCTGTGGCCAGCGTCATTCCATCGTCTGGCCAGGTTGGGACCATCGTTTCCATTGACGGCTCTGGCTTCAACGACACGGCCTCTGCTGTGGAGCGCGTGTTGCTCGGCGACACACCGGCAACGCTGCTGGCTGCGTCTGACACGAGCATTGTGTTCCGGGTCACCAACGTGTCCCACGAGCTGCTGGACGTGACGCTGGTAACCGGCACGGGCGTACGTCATGTGCTTGCGTCCTCGTTCCGCGCATACTCGCCTGGCGTGATTGCAGACGTGACGCCGTCTTCCGGGCGCGAAGGAACAGAGGTTGTCGTGTACGGCACACATCTGCGCGCGCACAGCCCTGCTGTGACCAACGTCTCGTTTGGCTCGTACCCCGCTCGCATTGTGCGGGAGACTGACTACTTTGTGAGCGTTGTCCTGACTCAGGCTCCAGCGACGAGCGAGCTCGTCGACGTTTCGCTGACGACCACCTTTGGCGCTGTGACAACCAAGCGCGACGCCTTTATGTTTGTGCCGCGCGGCAATGTGACCGCCGTATCCCCTTCGTCTGGTGTTGGCGGCACGCGCGTGGTCATCCAGGGCAGCAACCTGCTCGGTGGCGGCACACGCATCATCTCTGTGACCCTTGCCGGCGTTGACGCCACGCTGGTGCACTACAACAACACGGTGATTGAAGTCGTGGCTCGCGCGGGCGACCCAGGCCTTGGAGATGTCATCATCTCCAGCAACACGGGCAGCGTCACCGTCCTGGACAACGCATGGGCGTATGTTCCCGTGGGTGAGATTCACGCCGTGCTCCCCGCACAGGGCCAGGCCTATGCGCGCGTGACTGTCGTGGGCCTGGGGCTGTTTTCTGGGGCGCCTGGCCTCGAGCGTGTTCGCCTGGCTGGCGAGGACGTGTTGCGCATCGTGTCGGCGAGCGACTCGAAGGTGGTGGTCATTGCCCCCGCCGTTCCGGCGGCGACAACGGGCAACGTGGAGCTTGTTTCCACCACCGGTGCCAAGGTTACGCGGACAGCGGGGTTTTCGTTTGTGGACCCTGCCAACGTTACGGCCGTGACCCCATCCTCTGGTCAATTGGGCACGCGCGTCACGCTCGCAGGATCAGACCTCCTGTGCGGTGACTCTGCCCTTGCGTCTGTCCGCATCGGCGGGCAGGAAACGGCCATTCTGTACGCGTCATCCGAACAGGTGATTGCTCGCGTGAACACGACACTCGAGCCCGGCATGTACCAGCTCACCGTGACTGCCGCCTCTGGCGCTAACTACACTGCTGCGCCACACCAGTTTGAAGTGCTTGCGCAGGGCGCCATCGACGCCGTGCAGCCAGCCGCTGCACAAGCTGATGCCTTTGTCACCATCCGTGGGCGTGGCTTGTTTGGTGGGGCTGCGTCGCTTGCAACCGTGTCCTTGGGCTCGCCCGCCGTCACCGCCACAATCGTGAGCCAGTCGAGCTCCGTGGTGGTGGTGCAAGTGCCCCGCGTGCCGTATGCCGCCGGCGCCGCTCCAATCACGCTCACGGCCGCTTCAGGTGCGCTTGTGTCCAACGCCACCGCGTTTGAGCTGCTCGAGCCCGGCGTCATCACCAGCGTCGCCCCTTCCTCTGGGCAGGAAGGCACATTGGTGACCATCGCCGGCGAGCGCCTGCTGGCTGGCAGTGATTCCCTTGATGTCGTGTACATCGCCAACACATCTGCAGTGCAAGTGCTGCTTGCCACTGACACCCGCGTGGTTGCGCGCGCCGCTGCTGGCCCGCTGGTTGTGGACGACGTCGTGCTGGTTGGCGCTGCTGGGGGCCGCGTGGTCGCTCCTGACGCATGGCACCGCCTGGCTGCAGGGCAGATTGCCACTGTCACTCCAACGATTGGGCAAGAAGGCACGTTTGTCAATGTGACTGGAACGAACCTGCTTGCTCACAGCGATGGTCTTGCCAGCGCTTCCCTTGCCGGTACGCCTGCAGACGTCATCGCCGCGACGCCCCAGCTCGTGCAGTTGCGCGCACGCGTGTCATCCCCGCGCACGGGCCCCGTGGTTCTTCAGGCCAGCTCAGGCGCAGTCGTCGATAGCCGTGGCGTTGCCAACTTCACCAGCGCACAGGCTGGACGCATCGATACGGTCGCCCCGGCCGTGGGGCGCGCCGGCACGTTTGTGACGCTTGTCGGCACCAACCTGCTCGGCCACGCCGCCTCGCTGTCCTCTTGCGTTGTTGCAGAGGACGCGCTGGCGGCCATCGTGGATGCCAACAACACGCGCGTCGTTGTGCGCCTGCCAGAGGGGCCTGCGCCTGGGCTCGTGAACATCACGCTGCAGGCGACTTCTGGTGCCCTCGTGCATCGTGCGCATGCGTTTGAATATGTTGGCGAGGGTGCCATCTCCACCGTGCTCCCGGCATCTGGTCAGAAGGGCACCCGCGTCACCATTCGTGGCACCGCTCTGCTTGGCGCAGGCGATCACGCAACGTCCATCACCCTCGCTGGCGCAGTCACTACGAGGGTGTTGTCTTCCAACGACACCACCATCGTTGTTGAGGCGCCCGCCGGTGCAGCCCAGGGTTTGGGCGCCGTCTCCGTTGAGGCAAACACCGGCGCTGTGGTGTCCCAGGAGGATGCCTTTGCCTTCATCGAGCCGGGCCAAATCACTCTCTTCTCCCCGAGCTCTGGTCAGTATGGAACGTGGGTCAACATCACGGGCCAAAACCTCCTTGGCGGCGGCTCCACTGCCGCAGATGTGCTCTTTGGCGGCTTCTCTGCGGATGAAGTGGCGTTTGCCTCCCCCTTCATGGTCCGTGCGCGAATCGGGCAGCAAGTGCCGTCGCCGGGGCCAATCAACGTGACCATTGTTGCCGACACGGGTGCGCGGGTGACGAGTGAGGGCGCCTTTACCGTGACCTCCTCCAGCACGATCGCGTCCGTGAGCCCCGCTCTGGGCCAGCGCGGCACACGGGTGACCATCAGTGGTCAGAACCTGTTTGGCGCAGGCCCTGCCCGCATCGCAGCCGTACACCTGGCTTCCGTGTCCGCAGTGGTCCTGAACGGCTCCAGTGACACGCAAGTGATCGTTCAGGCGCAGGCCAGCCCCGTGGCCGTTGCAAACGCCACGGTGACAGTGGAGGCAGCCAGCGGCGCCTTGACTGTGGCGCCAGCGTCCTGGTCATACATTGCCCCGGGCGCCATTGCCAGCGTCACGCCAGCCATGGGACAGGCGGGAACGCGCGTCACCATCACCGGCACTAACCTGCTTGGTGGTGCGCCTGCGCTTGCGCTCGTGTCCATCGCAGGCTCCCCTGCGCAAGTTGTGAGCCAGAGCAACACGCGCGTGGTTGTCAGGGCCGGCGCCGCCGCCCCTGGCTTGGGCGACGTTGTGCTTGAGGCCTTGTCCGGAACGCTCGTGGAGCAAACAAGCGCCTTCACGTACACCAACATGAGCGAGATCACGTCTGTGTCGCCCTCTGTGGGTCAGGAAGGTACCTTGGTCACCATCCGGGGCACCCGCCTGCGTGGCGGCGCGAACCGCGTGGCCAACGTGACACTGGCTGGTGTTCTGGCCACCACCCTCTCTGAGGATGACACCACCGTCGTTGTTCGGGCCAGCTTCTCCTTCAGCGCCATGTCTGGCCCCGTTGTTGTCATGTCGGACTCTGGCGCTCGCACACAGGCGCCGCAGCCGTTCTCGTACCTCGAGCCCCCATCGGTGGTCTCCATCGCCCCAAGCACGGGCCAGGAGGGCACGCGCCTCACCATCACAGGCCTTCGCCTGCACAATGGCGGAAGCGCGGTGGTGTCCGCTTCCCTCGGCGCGTTCAACGCCTCTGTTGTTTCGTCCAACGACACGGAAGTGGTCATTCGCGCCGGCGCTGGTCCTTCAACGCAGACGGCTGTGGACATTGTGCTGCAGTCTGACACGGGGTCCATCACTCGCGGTGCTACGCCATGGACGTTTTCTCCTCCTGGCAGCATCGCCATTGTCGATCCAACCACTGGGCAGCAAGGCGCGCTTGTGCGCATCACAGGCACCAACCTGTGCGGCGGCGGCTCATCCATCGCTCGCGTGCGTCTCGCCAACGTCGAGGCCGAGATCCTGTCCCAGACGTCGTGCGGCCTGCTGGAGGTGCGGGCCGGTGCATACGGTGCACCGGTCACGGGCTCCATCGAGTTGGAATCTGACACGGGGGCCCTGGTCACCAAAGCCGATGCCTGGACATACGTCACCTCGGGCTTCATCTCCAGTGTCACGCCTGCTGCCGGTCAGAGCGGGGAGCTGGTCAGCATCCTGGGCAGCAACCTCTTTGGTGGCGCAAGCACAGCCTCGCAGGTCACTTTTGGTGGTGTCCCTGCCACCATCGTCAGCAATGGCAACACATCGCGCATCGTCGTTCAGATCAACGCTGGCCCGCAAAGCGGACAGCCGAACCTGGGCGATGTTGTCATCACGGGCACCTCGGGCGTGGTGATCCGGGCCGTCGATGCCTTCACCTACTCCACGGTTGACCGCGTATTCCCCAGCAGTGGCCAGGGCGGCACGCGCGTGACCATCAGCGGCGTTGCGCTGCTTGGTGACAACACGCAGCTTGAGCGCGTCGAGCTTGCAGGCATCTCTGCCGCCAGCATCATCTCCTTCAACAGCACTCAGGTCGTGTGCGTGGCCCGCGCCGCCGGTGTGTCCCAAGCGCAGCCCGGGCAGGTTGTGCTGGTTGCCACCACACAGGAAATTACCAGCACAGGCACAGCGGACTGGACATACCAGCCACCCGGCGCAATCGCATCCGTGAACCCAGCGCGCGGTCAGCGCGGCACGCTCATCACCGTTCGCGGCTCCACACTGCTTGGCTACGGCGAAAGGCTGGTGCAGGTGACGGTGGCCAACGTTACCGCAACCCGCATCATCAACGCTACCAACTCGGTGGCTGTCGTGGAGGCCGGGCTAAGAACTGCGGGCGCCACCGGCAACGTTGTTTTGGTCGCCGACACAGGCGCAACCATCACCGCCCTTGCGGCCTTCACATACGCAGACGCGCCCGTGCTGGCCGCTGTGTCCCCTTCCTCCGGCCAGCTCGGAACCCACGTCACGGTCACGGGCCAGAACCTGCTCATGGGCTCTGATAGCCTGAGGTCGGTCTCCATCGCAAACGAATCGGCAACCATTCTCTCGCAGAACGACACACACGTTGTGGTGCGCGCGCCACGCTCCTCACCGAAAACAGGCCTCGTGCGGCTTGTGTCCTCCGAGTTTGCTTCCGTGACTGGCCTCTCCTTTACGTTCCTTGAGGAGGGCGTGGTCAACACCGTATCCCCTAGCTCTGGACAGGGCGGCACGCGCGTCACCCTCACCGGTGAGCGTATGTTTGGCGGTGCCTCGGGTATCGCTGCGGTTGAGCTGGCTGGCGTTCCTGTCCAGGAGATTGTGTCCAGCAACACCACACACGCTGTGGTCATCGCCAGCGATGCAAGCGCAGTCGCACCAGCCGCTGTCACCGTCATTGCCAACTCGGGCGCGCTCGTGACATCGGCGGACCCTGGCGCGTGGCAGTACTTGACCCCTGGCGCAATCACGAGCGTCGACCCGGACATGGGCCAGGTTGGCACACGCATCACCATCACCGGCCAACGTCTTCTTGGGGGCGGCACCTCCATCGCTTCCGTTCGTCTCGGCACTGCCGGTGCTCGGGTTGTGAGCGGCAGCTCCACGACCGTTGTTGCCGTCGTGCCAAGCGGCGCTGCAGGCGTGCGCGACGTTCACGTCGTTGCCAACACGCTTGCAACGACGACGCTCTGGACAGGCTTCACGTTCCTGGAGGAGGGCGTCATCGACAGCTTGCAGCCAAGCTCAGGTCGACTGGGCACCCGCGTGACCATTCACGGCTTGCGCCTTCTCGGTGGCAGTGATGCACTGCAGCAGATCCTGTTTGGAACGGTCCCTGCGACGATCATCGACTTCAACACAACCACCGTGGAGGCTTTTGCCCCAGCCATGGCCGCGGGTACCAGCAATGTTACCCTCGTTAGCGACACAGGTGCCGTCGTGCGTTCTGTGGACGGAGCTTGGACACAGGTCGACGCCGGCCAAATCCTCTCTGTTGAGCCAGCGGCGGGCATTCCGACAGCCTTGGTCACCATTCGTGGCCAGGACCTGCTTGGCATCGGTACCATTGCGCAACAGGTCACACTTGGTGGCTCTCTGGCCGAAGTTCAACAGTCAAACGCAACTGTGGTGATCGTGAGAGCCGGCGTTCGCCCGGCGGTGCCAGACTCAGCGGTCACCGTTGTTGCTGACACCGGCGACACGGTGTCGGCTGACAGCGTGTGGACCTTCCATCCTCTGCCGAACATCACGAGTGTTGCGCCTGCCAATGGACAACAAGGGACGCGCGTAACCATTACGGGAAGTGACCTCATCACAGGTGGCGTGCGTGTGGCCTCAGTGCAGTTGGCAGGCGTCACCGTGTCAGAAGTGCTGTCGCAATCGCCTGATTCGCTTGTTGTCATCGCTGGGCCATCATCCACCAGCGTGAGCGGCGCGGCGACTATCACCCTCACTTCCGGCGCGTCGTTTGCCAGCTCACAATCCTTTGAGTACTTGGCACCGGCCGACATCAGCAGCGTGAGCCCAGGCTCTGGAACGCTGGGGACGGTCATTACGGTGTCCGGCTCCCACCTTCTGGGGGGCGGCACGACTGTCGTCGCTGCTCGTATTGGTGATGATGCTGCTGAACGCGTTCTCTTCGCCAATGACTCGCGCGTTGTGTTCAAGGCCGGCAATGCAGACACGCCGTCAGCCAACAGAACTGTTTTGTTGACTGCAGATACAGGCGCGTTCGTTTCCGTGAGCAGTGCCTTCTCTTACATCACGCCTGCAAGCGTTTTGTCCGTCTCACCCAGCTCCGGAACACAGGGCACCAGGGTCACCATCTCTGGGCAGCGCCTCTTCAGCGATGGCTCATACCTCACAGAGGTGCTACTCGCGGGTGTTCGCGCCCAAATCCTCAACATGACTGAGGTACAAGTTGTTGTGGCATGTGGCTTTGCAAACCAAACCAGTGGGCCCGTGGTCCTCGTCAGCAACACCGGTGGCAGGATTGAACAAGCTCAATTTTCCATCATCAAGCCGCCCGTGCTCCTGGCAGCCAGCCCAGACAGTGGGCAGGAGGGCACCCACGTGATCCTGTACGGCGAGCGCCTTCGTGCCGGTGGCAACGCCATCACGCAGGTCACCCTAAACGGTGTCGCCGCCACGATTGTGGATGAAACAAACGTGTTCGTTCGCGTGATTGCACAGGATGGCCCGGTGGGGCGCGGCCCGATTCACCTCACCGCAAACACCGGGGGCGTCGTGCAGTCAACCGTGGCTTGGGAGTACTTGACAAAAGCGGTGATCGATACTGTCGCTCCAAGCAGTGGACAGCTAGGGACTCTTGTTACGATACAGGGCAGCAACCTGCTCGGCGGCGGCACGGAGGTAATTCGTGTCATCCTCGCAGGCACCGATGCCACCATCTTGTCTCAAAACAACACGCACATCGTCGTGCGAACAAGCCGTGGCACAGGCTTGCCCACTCAAGGAGATGTCGTCGTCATCAGTGACGAACTCTCTCGAGTAGTTGCTGAAGACGCCTTTGCATACATCGCTCCTGGAGATGTCGATGGTGTGATGCCAAGCCAAGGCAGCTTTGGGACGCGCGTCACGATCGTGGGCACGAACCTGCTTGGCGGAGGGTCGTCGGTGTCACTGGTGGAGCTTGCTGGCGTTGAGGCACAGGTTGAGTCTGCGACAGCGGGGCAAGTTGTGGTCATTGCACAGGCATCGAACGCCACGAGCGTTGGAGATGTTGTGCTGCACTCTGACACTGGTGCTGTCGTCGTCCAGTATGACGCCTGGCAGTACGTGACACCTGGCCGCATTCTGACAGTAACGCCGATGTCTGGACAGGGTGGCACGTACGTTGACATTGTGGGCACAGGGCTCTTGAGCGGCTCGCGCGATGCCGGTGCGGTCCACCTCAGCGGTGTGGCTGCTGTTGTTCTGAGCGCAAACGACACGCACGTGCGTGCGCGTGCTGGCGAGGGCGTGCCTGGACTCGGGGACGTGGTTGTGACGTCTGCGGATGGCGCGCCTGTTGTGGCTGCGGATGCGTGGACGTACACTGCAGCTGGCAACATCTCGGGCATTGCCCCTGTGAGCGGTCAGGAGGGCACTCACGTCACCATCCGCGGCGTTGCGCTGCGCGGTGCTGGGGCACTTGTGCACCGTGTGCTGCTTGGAGACAGTGAGGCTGACGTGTTGTTTGAGAATGACACGCTGGTGGTTGTTCGCGCTGGCCATGGGGCTGCAGGCGTTGTGCATGTCGTGCTTGAGTCGTCATCTGGCGCGCTTGTTTCGGCGGACAACGCCTTCACATACCTTGAGCGCGGCGAAGTTGCAGCTGTGTCACCGACATCTGGGCAGCTTGGCACGCTTGTGACCATCACTGGAGCGCGGTTGCTTGGTGGCGGATCGTCGATCCGCACCGCGACGCTCTCCGGTGTGAGTACGGAGGTGGTGGGCGCCACAGCTTCAACGGTAGTTGTGCGTGTGACATCGTCATTTGCCAGTATGACCACGGGCGATGTGATGCTTGTGTCCGACACGTACGCGGTTGTTCGTGGCAGCGGCTTGTGGACAGGGCTTCCTGACGGAACAATTGCCGACGTTGCACCCAGCGCTGGCGTTGTGGGCACGCTTGTGACTGTGCGCGGTGCCAACTTGCTTGGGTACGCCGCTGGCCTGGATGAGGTGACGCTTGCTGGTGTGAATGCAACGATTGTGTCGGCGAATGCTAGCGTTGTCGTCGTGGCTGCTGGATCATCGCTGTCTGCTGTGACGGGCGGTGTGGTACTGGTGGCAACGAGTGGTGCAACCGTTTCGGCGAGCGGAGCGTGGAGCTACGTGGCGCCAGGCCAGATCACTCGCGTGCGCCCTGCGTCTGGCCAGGTGGGCACGCGGGTCACGATTGAAGGAACTGGCCTTCGGGCGGCGGCGTCTGCAGTGGCGACAGTGCTGCTCGGTGACCTCACGTCTACTGTGCTGACCTCAAACGACACGACTGTGGTGGCGGTGTGCCCTGATGGCCCTGCCTCCGGCGTTCCCGAGCGCGTGAAGGTTGTGGGAGTGAGTGGCGGTTTTACGCTGGCGGAGTCACAGTTCACGTTCCTGGAGAAGGGTGTGATCGCAGACGTATCACCAGAAATTGGCCAGGTTGGCACGCGCCTTGTTGTGAGTGGCGAGCGCCTACTTGGTGGTGGTGCGCGTGTGACGCGCGCCGAAATCGGCGGCGCTGTGGCTGAGATTGAAAGTAGCAATGCCACGACGGTGGTGCTGGTTGCGGGCGCTTCGAGTGCTGGTGCAGCCGACGTTGTGCTTGTGGCCGACACTGGTGCAACTGTTCGCCTCGACGCAGGCTTCACGTACCTCGAAGAAGGCGTCATTGAGCAGATCAGCCCACGTGGCGGCCAGGAGGGCACGCTTGTGACGATTGAGGGTGAACGGCTGCTGGGAGGCGGCGCTGCGCTTTCGCGAGTGCTGCTGGCAGGACAGCCGGTGCTGCATGTTATGTCTGCGAGTGATACGCTCGTGGTGGTGCGTGCAGGTGCCGGAATGCCGGGCACAGGTGATGTGATTGTTGAGTCGACGAGTGGCTCCCGGGTGACGCTTCCAGGTGGGTGGATGTACTTTGTGCCCAGCAGCATTGCGGACGTGCAGCCGTCGTCCGGCCAAGTCGGGACTGTGGTTGACATCTCTGGTAGCAACCTGCTTGGTGTGGCCAACGGGACTGCTGTTGCACAGGTGTGGCTTGACGGCACGGCTGTCAGCTCTATTCTGATTGGCGATCGCCAGGACCTCGTGCGTGTGGTTGCAGCAAGGAACACGAGCATGGGTGTTTTGGGCAGCGTCGTCGTGGAAGCCGACAGCGGCGCGCTGGCCTCGGTTGATGGCCGATGGACGTACTTGCTGGAGGGCGTGATTTTGGGCGTTGTCCCCGCATACGGCCAGGTTGGTACCCGGGTGACTATCTCTGGTGCGCGGCTGCTTGGCGGTGGCAACACGGCTGTCAACGTGACGCTTGATGGCACACCCGCAAGCGTGCTGTCATGGGGACCAGAGCAAGTTGTGGTGCGGGCCGAGCGCAACAGCAGTGCTGAGGTTGGTGGAATGGTGTCAGTTGTCAGTGATACTGGTGCCATTGTGTCTGGGGCTTCCCTGTTTGCGTACCGGACGGAGGGCCACATTGATCAAGTGGAGCCGTCCACTGGACAGGCGGGCACGATTGTGACCATCACCGGCCTGCGTCTGCGCGGGCACGGTGTTGTGGTTGACCGTGTGTTGCTTGGAGGCGCTGAAGCTGGCGTGTTGAGCGAAAGCGATACAGCTGTTGTTGTGCGCGTGCCAGATGCTTCTGCGGGCGTCGTTGATGTTGTGATCGTTGCTGACACTGGGGCGACGACGACGAGCACGGGTGGCTTCACGTTTGCGGAGCGCGGCGTTGTGGCGACGGTGAGCCCGACAAGTGGCCAGCACGGAACGCTGGTGACGATTCGTGGCGACAGGCTTCGTGGCAGCGGCAGCGCGGTTGTCAACGTGACGCTGGCTGGACGCACAGCCACGGTGTTGGAGGAGAACAGCACGACGGTGATTGTGGCGGCTGGTGCAGGCGCCGAGACAGCTGTGGCTGGCGACGTTGTGCTGACTGCGGACACGGGTGCGGAGGTGACGCGTAGCGGCGTGTTTTCGTACGTCGCCGCTGGGGAGATCACCGACGTGACGCCCGCGTCTGGCGGCGCCGGGACGCGAGTGACGGTGCTCGGGCGTGACCTGTGTGGCGGTGGCAGCAGCGTGGTGCGCGTGCTGCTTGCTGGCTTTGAGGCCGATGTTGTGAGCGGCGGGTGTGCGCGCGTTGAGGCGACTGCGCGTGACTTTGGCATGGTGCTTTCTGGGCCGGTGCTGCTGATTTCGGACACTGGCGCGATGGTTGAGTCCAGCGGGGACGCGTGGACATACCTTGCTGAAGGGCGGATCACGTCTGTGTCGCCGAGCGCGGGGCAGGACGGCACTGAGGTGCACATCCGCGGCGAGCTGCTGCTGGGTGGCGGCACGAGTGCTTCTCGCGTGACGCTGGCTGGCGTGGCGGCGTTTGTGCTGACATCGAATGAGACGGACGTTGTGGTGCGCGCGTTCCCCGGGACGAGCAGCGGCGACGTTGTGATTGTTGGGGACACTGGCGTGAGCGTGCGGCTGACGAATGCATGGACCTACAGCGTGATTGAGAGCGTTGAGCCTGCATTTGGGCAGCGCGGCACGGTTGTGACGCTGAGCGGGCGCGCCTTGCTTGGCGGCGAGGGCGACGTGTCACGGGTGCTCCTTGGCAGCGTGGAAGTGAGCGCGATCCTGCGGAACAGCAGCGACGAGGTTGTTGTTGTTGCTGGCGACCGGACTGTGTTTGCTGACGCGGTTGGGCACGTTGAGATTGAGCTTGCGAGCGGACGGCAGGTTGTTCTTCGGGATGCTTGGACGTACCGGCGTGCGGGCTCGATTGCGAGCGTTGTGCCTGCGTCTGGGCACTTTGGAACGGTGGTGCGCATTGGCGGCAGCCGGCTGCTTGGCCATGGGCAGTCGCTGGTTGGTGCAACGCTGGCTGGCGTGGCTGCTGAAGTTGTGTCTGCGAGCAACACGGACGTTGTGCTGGTGGCGAATGCAAGCAGCAGCGCACGCTCTGGCAACGTTGTTCTCATTGCGGACACTGGTGCGACGGTTGTTCTTGAGGACGGCACGAGCGGGCTTGCGGAGTGGACGTACGTGGCGCCCGGCGTGATCAGCGAGGTTGAGCCGAGCTTTGGGCAGGTTGACACGCGCGTGACGGTGCGCGGGAGCGGCCTGCGCGGCGGCGCGGCGAGCACGGCACGAGTTGTGCTGGCTGGCGTTGAGGCGACGCAGGTTGTGTCTGACAGCGACAGCGAGATTGTTGTTGTTGCTGGGGCGATTGCGGGCGGCGTTTCGCGGGCCAACGGCAGCGTGCGCGTGTTTGGCAGCACGGGTGCTGAGGTGTCTGGGAGCGGCCTGTTTTCGTATGTTGCGCGGGGCGTGATCAGCGATGTTGAGCCGAGCAGTGGGCACGGCGGGACGCTTGTGACGATCCGGGGCGAGCGGCTTGATGGCAGCGGCGGCAGCGTTGCTCGGGTGCGGCTTGCTGGGGTGTGGACGAGCGTGATCTTGCGGCAGAACAGCAGCGAGGTAGTTGTTGCAGCGGAGGCGAGCAGCGGCGCTGTTGCGGGCGGCGATGTGCTTCTTGAGTCTGCGAGCGGGGCGACGGTGGAGGCGGCTGGGCGGTTCAGCTATGTTGCGCCGGGCGTTGTTTCTGCCGTTGAGCCTGGGAGCGGAAGCGCGGGCACTGTGGTGACGGTGCGCGGGAGCGGGCTGCTGGGCGGCGGCGGTGCAGCTGCGGCTGTGCGCCTGAGTGGCGTGGAGGCGCAGCAGGTGCTGTGGTCGAACGAGAGCGTTGTTGTGGCTGTTGCCGGTGCCGGCAGCAATGTGACGGGCGACGTTGAGATTACGGCAGACACTGGTGCTGTGGTGCGCGGGCTTGCGTCGAGCGGGCGCGGGTTCACGTACGTTGTGGCTGGCGTGATCGAGGCTGTGCAGCCGAGTTCTGGCCGCGTTGGCACGGTGGTGACGCTGTCTGGGAATGGCCTGCTTGGTGGCGGTAGCGCTGCTGGGCAGGTGAGCCTGGGCGGGGTGCCGTGTGAGGTGCTGACCTCGGGCGCACTTGAGGTGGTTGTGCGCGTTGGTGCTGGCGGCGTTGGCGGCGCTGTGGGCGATGCTGTGGTTGTGGCTGACACGGGCGCTGAGGTTCGCAAGGCAGCTGCGTGGACGCAAGTTGACGCGGGCGCGATTGACAGTGTGACGCCCGGGTCTGGACAGGCTGGGACGCTTGTGAATGTGACTGGGCGTGTGCTGCTGGGCGGGCGGGAGCCGGATTGTTGAGGTTATTCTCGGCGGGACGGCTGCGTCTGCTGTCGTGGACGGGGACCAGGAGACGTTTGTGACTGTTGTTGCGAACAGAAGCGCGAGCGCCGGCGACGGCCGCGTGGTTGTTCGCGCAGACACTGGCGCAGAGGTGTCGCTGGACGCTGCATGGAACTACACGGACGTTCCCGTGATCACAGACGTTACACCCAGCTCTGGCCAGCAAGGCACTGTTGTGACTGTGAGTGGCAACAACCTCCTTGGTGGCGGATCTCAGGTTGTGTCTGGCAGCTTGAGTGGCGTCGCTGTGAGCGAAGTACTGAGCTCTTCGGACACGCGGGTGGTCGTGGTTGCATCTGCATTGAACACGAGCTCCACGGGTGGAGTTGTGCTGTCTGCTGATAGTGGTGCGACGGTTACATTGAGCCAGGCGTGGACGTACTTGGAGCCTGCCGTCATTACAGGCGTGGAGCCCAGCTCTGGCCTCCTTGGCACACTGGTCACCATCTCTGGAACTGGCCTTTTGGGCGGCGGCAATAGGACGGCGACTGCTTGGTTTGGAGCGACGGAAGCCGAGAGCGTCGAGGCGTCATCCGACAGTGTCGTTGTTGTGCGTGTGGGCCCAAGTGCACCTAGCCTCGTTCAGGTGCGGCTGCAATCTGACAGTGGTGCTTGGGTGCGCTTGGAAGATGCGTTCCAAGTGCTTCCAGCTGGAGTCGTTGAGGCTGTGTCGCCGGCTTACGGCCAGGCAGGTACACGCGTGACGATCACTGGGCACACATTGCTGGCTGACGGCGTGAATCTCACACAAGTGCGCCTGGCTGGCGTGGAAGCTGAGATCGAGTCAGCAAACGCAACGCAAGTTGTTGTTGTTGCCGCGCATGCATCTGCTGGTGTTGGCGATGTCGTGCTTGTAGCTGACACGCTTGGTCGTGTTGAGGCTGCTGGTGCGTGGGAGTACCGCCGACGCGGACAGATCTCGTCCATCACACCCACTTCTGGTCATGAGGGCACTGAAGTGCTGATTTTGGGCCAGGATCTGCTGGGTCACGGTGAGGACCTGGTTCAAGTGCGCCTGGGTGGAGTTGTGGCACGTCTTCTTGACCGTAACAACTTCTTTGCGCGTGTTGTTGCGGGTCGTGGCTCCCCGGCCGGACCAGTTGACGTGCGGCTCACCGCGGACACGGGCGCTGTCGTGGAGCAAGCTGACTTGTGGACGTACGTTGCACAGGCTGTGATTAGTTCTGTGACGCCTTTGACAGGGCAGGCTGGTACCTTGGTGACGATTCGTGGCAGCAACCTCTTGGCTGGTGCTGCGTCTGTGTCTGAGGTTCGCCTTGCCGGCGTCTCAGCCACCATCGTATCCTTCAACGAGTCAGTGGTGATTGCACGTGCTGCTCAGCCACCTGCGTCTGCTCCTGCTGGTGGAATCAACGTCACAACGTCTTCGGGTGCGTTTTATGGCGGTCCTGCCGGAGTAGTCTGGACTTACATGGATGCTGGTGACATTAACATTGTCATGCCAAGCCGAGGCAGCTTTGGGACGCGCGTCACGATCGTGGGCACGAACCTGCTTGGCGGAGGGTCGTCGGTGTCACTGGTGGAGCTTGCTGGCGTTGAGGCACAGGTTGAGTCTGCGACAGCGGGGCAAGTTGTGGTCATTGCACAGGCATCGAACGCCACGAGCGTTGGAGATGTTGTGCTGCACTCTGACACTGGTGCTGTCGTCGTCCAGTATGACGCCTGGCAGTACGTGACACCTGGCCGCATTCTGACAGTAACGCCGATGTCTGGACAGGGTGGCACGTACGTTGACATTGTGGGCACAGGGCTCTTGAGCGGCTCGCGCGATGCCGGTGCGGTCCACCTCAGCGGTGTGGCTGCTGTTGTTCTGAGCGCAAACGACACGCACGTGCGTGCGCGTGCTGGCGAGGGCGTGCCTGGACTCGGGGACGTGGTTGTGACGTCTGCGGATGGCGCGCCTGTTGTGGCTGCGGATGCGTGGACGTACACTGCAGCTGGCAACATCTCGGGCATTGCCCCTGTGAGCGGTCAGGAGGGCACTCACGTCACCATCCGCGGCGTTGCGCTGC